CTTGCTGGCAGGCCAGCATGAGAAGCTGGACTGTCCTTGACTGCTTAGCAACAACTCAAAACATCAGCCCCTTATCAACAGTTTCTCATCCCAAATCCAAAACACAGCCTCACACTAGCTTCTGTGAAGAAAATTAACTCTATCCTGGCTGAAACTAGGACAATCAACCATTGCTTAGAGGCAGTTTGGGGTCTGTGTCCTTTGGACAGAATCTTTACTGTACCTGTAAAGGACTGGCAGGTGTGCAGAGCAAAGGAATTTGATACAAAAACTGCCTGTAGATGAGCTGGTTTCATGGAGCTCTGAGAAATCTGTATGCAGCTCGGATCAGAGAAAGCCTCATATGTTGTGACATGAAATGGAAATATTTTGGAAGTCAGGAAGAAGTCATCTTCTGGTATAATACAGTACAAAGATGGATGCTATCGTTATTGGCATTTATGACATATAGGTATTATTTAGCTCTAATGGCAAGTTTAAAACCTTCTTCTAGTTTTGCTTGCTACTTTCTGAGAGTATGGTACTAGATGCACCGCAAATCTTTAATGCTGTGGTAGGATTAATGTTTTAGTAATGGTGCAGCCGAGCATAAAACATTGGACTAACCAAATTACTGATCTTGTTCATACCTTGATTCTTATTCTTCTCTTCTTTTCCTTCCTCTGTCTATTTATAAACAGAGTGGCTTGGAGTTTGCCTTTACAAAGGCCAGTAGGATAATTTATTTTCTAATTAACTCCATTCAGCTCAATTCTTCTGGAGGTGTATTTTATACAGACATTGCTATATCAGAACAAAGCATCGGGCTTTGGGAGACGTACTTACTTCACATAAGCTATCTGCAGAGAAAGCACAAACAAAATAACGATGCTTCTTGTTTACCCTTTTCCTCCCCATCCCCGTCTTCCAGCCAGGGAAGTTTCACTTGAAACTGTCTTGTTTTACGCAGGCATGCAACTGGTCATGTATTCAGTGAAGGAAGCTCTCCAGGGCAGGCCTCGCTGGCTTCGGGCAGGCCATGATATCTGCTACTACAAGTAAGTGTATTTTTGGTGAAGAATTTGTGGCTTCCTTTCCCCTCTGTTCCCTTCCTGCTAGCTGTGTTGGTGTTGTTAACCTTTGACCACCAGTACCATATGTTTCGTGTCTCTAAATTGGTGCTAGTTCAATGTGTTACGTGTTTCCACCTTCAGAAAACAGCGGCGAGATCGCTGTATTAGATGCCTAGGGAGAAACAGGACGTGTGCAGAACGCGGATCCCCAGGAGGAAGAAAGGCAGTGGGGAGCGCTCAGACCTTGCTGGTGCAGCCAGGAATACAAGGAAGCTTAACCCATGAAGGTAGTGTTAGCTGGCTTTTTCCCCTGTCCAGGAAGAAATGAGCTGGATGGGATCATTGTTTTACTTCTGCATATGTCAACTTTGGTAAGAGGTGTAGGAGCTGAGGAGCTAAAGGAAGGGTTAGCATATACATGGAGGGGGGTGTGTGCATACACACAATCTGTGTACACCTGTATGCATAGGAAGAAATAGACATATTCAGATACACCTTTGTAAATCTGTCTCTATACCTTAGTATCTTCACCAGCTTCCCTTCTCTGCAAAGCTGGAACTGAAATCCTAGAAGGCAAACTGCTCTGGGAACCACACTTACTGGTACCAAGGCACTGTTTGTAGACCATGTCCTGATAGCAGAAACAGGAGGGGTTAACCTTACTCGCTGTCATATGGGAACTTCGATCTTTCTACTTGGGGCCAGGCAACAGTGGTGTAAAGGAATTCTGACAAGCTCGGGGCTGATATCTATGCAAGTTCCCTGTTTCAGGCTGTTTATTCAGTGTGTTTCAGAAGAAAAACACTAGATCAGTCTCATCTTTAGCTTATCACTGTTTCTCACATGAGTCACGCTCCAGCTCATTCTCACCCAGGTGTCTCATTTTCATGCAGAAAACTGATCCCTGATTCGTTCTGGTTATTACAGTTGAAGGAGACAAGTGCGGAGCTTGGATTCTCAGTGGCTTGAATGAACCCTGTTTTATTTTCTCAAGGCTTCCAAAATGTTATCCACAAAATTCATGACTTATTTTAAAGATGATGATTGAAAAAGTTTTCAGGACTAGGACAACTGGTATGTTTTGTATTAGAAAATCTGTGCAGAGTTGAAGGCTGTGGGACAGAATTACAGGTGTGAGTAAATGTATTTGGTTGAGTGCCCGTGAATGGGATGTCTGGGAATGATGCAGCCTGGGATGGTGCAAGCAGGAAGAGGAGCCCTGCACTGGAAAAAAGAATTCACATATTGAGGATGAACTGGTAGAGCATTATGGGTGAAGTTCACACACTTTGTAATCAAATATTGCAGCATTTGGGGTTAATTAACTGTTTTATCCTGGTCTTATCTGTCATGACCTGAAAGCTGGGGTTGAGAATGCCTGAGTGACAAGTCTTCTCCTTTTTTTTGTTCTTCTAATTATTTTTTCTGTCACGATACCTATTCACCAATTTGCATCACCAAAATGCCTTGGTGTCTCAGGACTCTATGGGTGCTGCATTAGGCACTGTATAAACAAACCAAAAGTCTGGTCCTTGCTCCTAATATCTTGCAGTTCAAGTGTAGGACTTGGGCTATCCAATGACTGCAGACAGGCAGGGAAATACAAGAAAACAGAAAAGTGTTAACACAATTAACAATAATTGTTTGGCACGGTAAGTAGTGCTCTTCGGACAGAGATGAACTTTTCTGATGTTCTCTATGGTACTCCTTTCTTCATGAACTCATGTGATGGGGCTGATTTTAGAAACTGATGTGGAAATAATGGGCTTTCTCTTTGTAAGAAATTGTATATGTGTTGTAGTTCACAATTTTGCTGTTAAGTTCAGAGGTGACTGTTCACAAGTGGATTTGATGAGGTGACAAACCCAAACAGTGAGCTGCATTCCAGAAGTAGTAGAGTCTAAAACTTGGATTTTTTTTTTTTTTTTATCAACACAAGCCATCACAAGTATTTTTGTAATATCTTTTTGTTTTTTTTTTCTTTTGGGGGGTGGGAGGGGAGCAGTGCTGAAGGATCAGCTTATCCTTTCTCAACATGGCATCTTGTCTATTGCAATTTGAATAGCTCTTTTATTTTGTTCCAAGTGCTCTTCGCGAACCTTTATTCACCTGACCTTTTCTACCTCAAGAGCTAACGTACTGTGGTGCACTGGCTTCCCTTTGCATGCCTGTAACTTCTGGCTTCTGTGAGTATGGGCTTCTTGTTGGGCAAACTTTACGTGCTGATTACTATAGCAGTGGCTTCTTGTGTCATCAACATGGCAATCATTGTGTGGTGATTATGCAGCAGCTGACTTCTGAGATTAAGCCATGATTGTACAATTAAGCTTGTAATCAGATTCTTGTTCAGAATATGTCAGAGAATGGAGTTTTATTGATTTGGAATATTCTGTGTTTTCTAACTGTACATTGAATTACATGTCAACATATTAATCTAGGATAACTACTTGTTGTCCGTCTCATTTACTGTTTATTCCAGGTTTACACACGGTTTTGTATATACAAGAATGTGCATACATACACATATGCACTTTCACCTCTACTGAAACTCTAATATTTTTGTTTCAGTGATTATAGAAGAGATTCCCAGTCATGAGAATTTGTATGTGGGAGGGAACGTGAAGACAGTCTGATTGGGGTTGCTCAGGCTTTGCCTCAGAATTGAGAGGAGGTGGAACTGCTATAGTGGTATCATGTTGCCTGTGTTTTGGGGAAAGCAGTTCATTTCCATTCACCCTGGTCACAGGTATCTTGTGGTGGGACTAGCATGTTTTGAAGGGAACCTCATGTAATTACTTTTACCAGGAGTTATTCAGAAACATGGGAAAGCGTGATATACTTACAAAAATAAGGAGGAACTCAAAGATGCCCTTAATTGCTTTTGTAGGAGGGCTTTTATTGAGAGCAACCTCTGAGCTGAAGGACAGTGGGAGGAAAAGCATACTGGCAAGGTGTCTGGGTGATGCATGTTGGCTGATCTTTGACATTCATCTTCACTGAAGCTGCGATAGTTCACTCATAAAGATGAATGTTGTGGCACAACTCTGTCATCGTGTACCTTTCCCATATGTCTCACGAGAGTTCTTATGTTACGGGGAGTGTTAGCAGTGCTTTTGTCAAAAGGAAGCTGAGTGACACTTCTGCTCTATTTTATCGCCTCCCTGTGAAGTGACAGGATACACCCATGATAAACAGAGTTGCAGTTACCATAAAATCATCTAATTCACTTGCTGTCTTGGCAGCTTTTATGTGCTGAATAATATTCCTTTCCAGGAAATTATTTAAGGAACAACGCAGCATGCTGAAATGGTGACAGTGTGCTCGTGCCTTTGGTTTCATGGTTCATAGCATATTATCTAACCTCCAGCTTTTTCAGACAATAGTCAGTTCACAGATAGTAATGAGGTACATGGAATATCTTGTTCTCAGATCACCGCTAAAGACTTTGGCTGTTTGGTGATCATAGCGGTGTCAGAACTAGGTCTTCTCTCTTCAGCATCTTTATAATCACGTTGAATGAAATCATCATCATAGCATTAGCAGGCCACCTCTCAGTTCTAATGGTATCTGTGAGAGAGGGTTGAGACACCAGTCTCGGTCTGAGAGCACCTGACCTTTACAATACAACTAAAGGCCTTAACAGCAAGACGGCCGTGGGAATGTTCTGCTTTGAATGGGATCCTGCCTGCACTCTTGACAGTAAAGATGTCTTACCATGGATATGGCCCTTGAAAGGGAACTTGTGTGTTTTCCGGTTTCCAATCTGGCAGATCCCAACATAACAGCCATGCCCCATACATTGTTAAATACTGCTTTTTTTTTATGGTATGAACCAAGGTGTTACTAAAGCATATTGCACTTAACAGCCACACTGAGAGATCTGAGAAAGCTAGGGCCTGTAAAATGAGGACACGAGATGCCAGGTGGTAGAAGGATTTTGGACAAAGCGAATGCATCAGCAGATTAGAAGTGGTACATAGTTTACTTTCTATTTGGACTCTGTTTTGAAATGGCCTAAAAATCTGGGATATTCGTATTTTCTTCTGCCTTTTTAATCTAAGCTGATACAATGCTCCATTCCATCACCTACCAGTGCCTTTTACTATGTTAAATGCTGCAGACAGGAAGTCTGGAGATGAGGTGAGAAAGAGATGTTGTTCTTGTATCACTTGGTGCTTTTTAATTCCTGAGTTACAATCCAGCTCCTTTACTGACCTGCCTGTATCTTTGGCCAAGACGCTTCACCTGTCTGTGTCTCAGTTTCCCCATCTATAAAGGATGGAAAATTAGAATCACTTATCTGCTACCTAAAGAACAGGAATAGATAAACGGGAAGCGATTTTTAATTAGATAATACTTGCAAAGGTCTTTTAAGCTCAAAAATTTATTGTGCAGATAAGTAGTATTACAATTATTAATTAACTTTCCATCACAACTATGTTAGAAATATACTATCTGTACATTATTTCTGAAAGAGAATAGCAAGCAAAATTATTTAACTGTTACAAAGTGACTGAAAGGCACAGTAGATACAGCTTCCATGCTGATTAAAAAAAAAACCCAAAAAACCCCAACACACTTTGGTCTCTTATTTTCTTTCTAATAATCAGCATATCAGTTTCTAGAGAGCATGTGAGACTTTGAACATTTTTTGAAAGAGAACACAAATAAGGTAGTGAAGACCAGATCTTGCTAGGGTCTTTTTCCTTCCCTGTTCCTTGATTGTTAATTTGGGCTTCATGCTGGTATGGTAGAGAGTTATGATGAAAAAGAGCTGTGGAAGAAAAACTATCAGCCAGATGGAGGAACAAGGAGGCAATAGAGCCATCTCGGGGTGACAGCAGTAGGAGAAGGAGGCAAAGAGGAAAAATGCTCTTTTTATGTTTCTTTTCAAGAGATTCAGAGCTACTGCATTTTATGATGGATTGTGAGAAGACCAGGTTACGTGCAATAGGAATACACGATCATTTACACTGCTTACACATAGGTGGTTTTTTTTCTTTTCAGTGCACGAGTTAAGAATGTTGAAGCCTCACACAGCCACTCGTAAACTTCCTGTTACTACCAGACAGTTTGCTATAGACTGAAACAGGTGTCAAGAAGTGATTCAAAAGCCTGGAAATATCTGTTCTGGGTGGGTAGTTCGCTATGAATGTGCTGCTAAGCAGCGCAGTGAGCGCGCTGCGCGTTGGTACCCTCGGCATCATGCGATCTGAGTGCTGTCAGGAGTAAGGACCATTGCCAACCAGCGTAGCATCAAGGTCAGAGGTGTCTGGTGCTGCAAAACCTCTGGGTTAAGCGGCCATTTTAGACAGGAGAGGGATTTTTGGCTGCACAATTACAGACTACAGAAGGAGAAGCCTTTACTGGAGCACTTAGGGAGAGGTGGAAATAATGTGTATCTAAGATATTTAGGCAGTATCTGACTGCAAAGACCTGCTTCCTCCCACACCTCTGACTACAAAGGTGAATTTGGAGGGGAGGACTCAGAAGGTGTCAGCACTTTGTGACAGTTCTTTATGAATAAGGTCATCTAACCGTTGGAATGACACTGAATATAATAGAGGTTATGGAGATGAGTCCTTTCCTTATGCACTATACAAGAAATGGTTCTTAGTTTTGACAGTGAAGGATAATTAACAGGAAATAGATTAAATGTTATTGTTTTGATTTAAAAAATTTTTAAAAAGGCTCAAATCCTGGATCCACTGAAATACATATATAATAGCTAAGTAGATGTTTCTATATTTGTGGGTTTGTTGCATTTTTTCTGAGTTTTTGTTCAATATTAAGGTGGTTTATTTGCAAAAGAACTATTGGGGTGAAGGGTTCACCTGAGAATAAAATCATAGGCTTTTCAGTTTGCCACTGTGACTCAGTGTTCCTGTACTCTCTATTGATCCAGTCAGTATCATTCACACCACGTGTTCTGAACTATTAAATTCAGGTGAAAACATAGCAGTATTGTATCGTGTCTTCCTTATGAAAAAGAGCTGATTATTTTGGAGAATTTGACAAGAATAATTATCTTTTCTCTCCGCCTCTTTGAATAAAAATGAACAGCAGCAAAATAAACTAGTATTGTAAATTCTAGGAGCTGAAATTGCATCTTTTGGTTGCCTTTTCTATTTTGCATTTTAATGCAACATTGATGATAACATTTGTCAAAGAAACTTCACAGTCCTTCAGAATCAGAAGGTTCAGCAACAGCATAATTGGTGCAATGTGGGAAAAATATTGTTTGAAATGTATTTATGGATGTGATTTGCTGTGAGGCTTCTCCCTAAAGTGCATGAATTGTCCCTTCATCTCTGCTGAAAGAAAAGTTTCTTACTCGGCCTGAAGTCATCTCTGTATCAGAATAAGTCTGAAGAAATCTGGTCCTGGAACTAGATGGAGAAGCTCACTTTAAGATTTTCATCGCTTTAATGAAGGGGTTGTCAAGGGCCTGAGTGCACTAATAGACATTGATCCTGACCAGCCTCAGCTGGGGGCTCTGTTTAAGCTCCATCCTGGCCTTTGTCCCTGCTGTAGTTGTAGCCTCTTTGGCCTCCGTTGTAGCGAGGGTCCAGCTCAGTCATTGCTGTGTCTGTGCTTTGCCATCAACTCTGGTGATCTGGATCCTGACCCATGGACTGACCTACTGGCTTGACCCAGACCTGCCTCATCACCGCAAATTTGTGATCTGCACGCGTGGTTGAACCTGCCATCCCCGGGCATGCCCTGCTCAGGTCCTGTGGGAGGAGGCCCTGGCTGGTGAGGCCCCTGCTCTGCTGGCTGCCATATCAAGCTCAGCTCCCCATCTTTTAGAGAGCAACTGGTCCTCACTGACCCCTGACAGGGAGAGGCTCAAGTCTTTGAAAAGGAGGGATCCAGAAGAGAGGCCTTTTGGGTTAGGTCGCAACCTGCAAATCTCTATGAGGTCACTTTTCCTCTGTGTGCAGTCTCTACCCAAACCCACTCTCTTCCTCCTCCTACTCCAGAAAGAGGCTTTGATGATATTTGAAATATTTTTATGTCCTATTTGCTTTTTTATTCCTGGAATATCCCTTCCTGTAGTGGAACTGAATGGTTGGTTTCGTATGGTATTCATATTTTCCAAATCTCTATGCTTTCACAGAATATTTTCATACGGTATTGTTCAGGGCTGTGAATAGGTGCCTGCATCTCTGAGCAAGATAATGTGGATATCAGAAGAAATACAGTAGTGTTAGCTGAATGCATTAGTCTAAATGTGTCTGGACTGTGCTACACAAACTAGTATTAGCTGGCTTCTTTCTCATTTGCACCTTCACAAAATGAAACAAACTTATTTTCCTATGCGTGCCCCCCATCCCTCAGCAGCAGGCGACTGGCTGCGGCTGGCTGAGCCCAGTGCTGCCGGCATCCAGTTCTGCCTGCTGGTCTTTGTGTACTGCTCAAGTCCCAAGACACGCTTGAATCCACTGGTGTACCACCTTGGTCACTGGTCCTTGCCATCATGATCCTGTTTGTGTCTCTGTCTAATGGAGCCATGGTTTCTCTAACCTTTTGTCTTTCATATAGCCTTTAGGAACGTTGCTGTGTTACTGGATGTTGTTTAGTGCTGCGTTGTATTTTCGTACCCGTTCATTGCTGGGATTGGATGGATCGTACTTAACATGGGGCCTTCCCAGTCTTGGTACAATGACTGGTTGAGTTTGGAGCCCATCTACAGCATGAGATGAAAGCTCATTCAGGGTAGACACTTCTCTGAATGCTTAGTTCTCTCATAGCTGCTCCAGATGGGCATCTGGAAGTGAAAACCATCTACTTTACCCTTCTTTCTCTTCTTCCAGAAACCACTACCGCTGCAGTGCAGCTGCAGGAGAAGGTGTGAGAGGAAAATTCTACTACACGCTCACCTTCAGCATCAAGTTCCCTCATAAAGATGATGTCTGTTACCTGGCTTACCATTACCCCTATACCTACTCTACAATGATGGTAATACTGATATATGTCCACCTAGATAAGCTGAAGGGCCTGACAGGTTGGAGCTGCTTGTGTAGATTTTGAGATAGCATAGAGGACCATTTTTGCGGGCAGTTAATGACCATGGTGCTGTCATTGCTTTGCTTGCAACTGCAGCCTCTGCCAGCTCTGGAGGCCAGAATGCTGTAGAAGAAAAGAAATTTCTGTACGGGATAAGCTGGGCTACAAACCATTAGTGCTTACACCAATCGTAACGCAAACCAAAGATGTCTCTATTTGCTTAGCGTTGCAGGATCCCCCTCCTGAAGGGGTGGGAAGCAGGGGGCTAAAGCTAATGGCAACTCAGGAGTGGAAGCTGCTCGCCCCCCCTTCTGACAGAGGGTAACAGCTCAGCTCTGAGCTGCACCCAGCAATACCACAGTGCTGCACCTCACTTGAATGCTCTGTGGCCATTTCCTCTCTGTCAGTTGGAGTGTCAGCAGGCGTTTATGACACCCCCACCAGTGCTGTCAGTACAGGAACAAGTACAGAATACAAGTCTAAGGCATATATTGTATTATTGAGTTGTACCAAGCTTGCTTCCTGGGAAAGGATTTGTTTTCTACATCCTTTTGTGGCCAGGGGCGGATGGTAAGGGAATTTTCTGGGAAATACATCCAATGTGCTTTCTCTAAGATTGATATAGGAGAGCCCAAGGTCTGAAAGGAAGGTAGGATAAAAGAAGGGAAATTAATAGTTCTGTGAGTAGATTTGCTTTGCTGTTAAAGATGAGAAAGATGTTACTGAAAATGAAGACGACAGAGTTCCAGTAGATCAGTTCCCCTTTCTTCTCCCCTCAATTTCCATTGTTAACCCTTGTTCTTCTGGGCAACAAATGCTGGTGTGGTTCAGTGAAGTTTGGGCTTGCTCTATTTTTTTTATAATTGTCTCAGTTTGCCATTACCAGATATGAAATACTCTATGCTTTCGAGGGAGACAATGTCCTCTCCTGCTTCCTAGCCATGCTGCTCACCATACCAACATAGGTATTAGGCTTAGATTATTTCCCACTCAAACAACAGTCTCTTGTCGACTGCTTAGCATCCTAGTTATAGGTGTTCAAAGAAACTGCTTCGACTATCTGGGACAGGGTCAGTCAAGCCTTAACAGTCCAAAATATGCCTGCCAGCTCATTTGTCATTAGGCTTATGGGTACCAGTTACACCTTAAAATCAATGAGGAAGAAAGTATGCTCCAGTAGTGGGGTTTGACCTATGGCCTTGAAGGCATGTGTATACCACAGTCTGCAGGGCAAAAGACAAATGCAGTACTGGAGAATTGTGTAGACTTATTCACCACCATACTTTATTACTGAAATGCAGTGTTTCACCATTATTTTATTGTTATTGATTTCTATCTTCTGGCACAAAAGCAAGAGAGACTTGAAGAGTTTGTATGCTCTGGGAATCCCTGAATGTCTCACCTGCTCCTGAATGAATAGACTAGAGATGAAAAAGATGTTACTCCTAGACTTGCAGAGCCAAGTCTTGAAGTATTTCACTGCCTCCTCAGATAAAATGCTCATTGAAATTAAAGGGAATTTTGCCCAGGTAAAGTTGAAATGAACTAGGACTCAGTAAGGACCATAAAGTTTGGTAAATAGGAATTATGGATGGAAAAGATTGGTAGATTGTCATGTCCAGCTCTTTAGCCAAAGCAGAATTGTTGCCTCTAATAATTCTAAAAGGCTGCTTTGCTTGGACTAATTAAAAATGTCAAGTGATGCAATTTGCACATTTCCATGTTACTTTAATTTCCACAGTAAATAAGCTAAATCAGGTTTGCGCACCAGTAGATTTCATTTTAAAGCATTTGTCCACTGGTGAAGTATGTTGGTTTTACATATCAGTAATAAATTAAAAGTGATTGCAAACCCAAGGGCTCAATTAAATACATAATGCTTTGGGGAAGAACATAAACTTGTATATGGAGTTAGTAATTTGAAAATGTTTTTAAAATCATATATATTTGATAGTTACAGGCATATTTACAGGAAATACACATTGCAGAATCCTATTTGGACTGGATGCACCCTGCAGTTCATTACTTTTTGTCCATTAGTAATTACATTTATTTTATGAACAGTAATTTATCTATTTTTACATCACAGAATTAATTGTTTGGATATCTAGCTGAAATCTCTGTGGCAGCTATACCAAATTAAGTTTCACTGGTTACCAGGAACATAAATAAATGATTATATTGAGTTCTCTGTATCTATGCAAGATCATTAGATGTGTCTAATAATTGAATTTACCTTATAGAGCAGTATGTTAATTGTTTTATGACATAAATGACTGTAAATTTCAGTTCTGTGTTTGCATTCAAATGGATACTGGGAAAGCAGTCAAGGACAGTGAGCTCCAAGGTTTGAGGAACAGGAATGTCTTGTCCCATAAACATTGGTTAAAATTTTGCCCTGATCTGTAAAACCAAAAAATTACCGTGTAAGGGCTGTTCAGTGAATTGGTGTGTTTTGGTTAACGTACTGTTAGGACAAGCGTGCATACTGCACTGTACCCGTTTCTACCAGTTGAGAGACAACTGGTGTTCCACAACACTTAGAACACCCTGCGATGGGATTACTTACACTAACCTTGCCGCTTGCGATTACAACGTAAACAGAGAACGACACGTCATCTGGTGTGTGGGTGACAAGTAGCTATATGTCTAATGAGGTGATCAGAATTTGTTCCAAAAAGCCTTTTTTTTTTTAAGCTGCCAATTTTTTTCTCAAATGTCTCAAGAAGCTGTTGGACTTAAGAATTGTTTAAAACGGCCATAAACTTGGGGGGGAGGGAGCAGAGAAGGGGGGAAGAAAATATCCTTTTAAAATAACTTATTGGAAAGATGCTCTTTAAATTTCCCACTACCGATTGTACAAAATGTTGTTTTGATGTACACTTTTTGGCTGCCTCTAGTGTGGAGTTGTTCTGAGTTTCACTGGCATGTGCTTGACAGCTAACCAGTCAGTTCTATAAGCGCTCAAAAATGGTGAGTTTTCTCACATTTCGTTTCTACACAGTCCCTATTAAAATATAAGGTGTAGGGAGTTCTCTTTTGAGCTTCACATATGCATAGAAATTCCTTTACATTAATAAGAGAAGCACCTAGGAACGGTTCAGGTAAAATGATATAATAGTAATAGTCCTCTGCAGCTTCAGTGAACCGGGGTGAATTCTGAATGGTTTGTGGGATGTAAAAGGTGATGATATTAACTGGCAGAAGAGAGAAGCTGGGAAGTTAGCAAGAGGTGAAATTAGTACCAATAATAATAATACACAGCTACTAGAATAAAATCAGATTTTATGGACCGTGAACTTATTTATAAATCTGTTTCCTTGCTTCTTTCTCAGTCCCATCTCGATACCCTGGAACAAAATAGGAACCCCAAGAAGGTTTACTGGAGGCAGCAGACGCTCTGCGAGACACTAGGAGGAAATTCATGCCCATTGCTCACGATCACTGCCATGCCAGACTCTAAAAAAAGAGATGACTTGGAGCAATTCTGTAAGTAGCCAAATGAAGCATGAAAAAAAGTTGCTGGCAACTTGCAGTCATATCAGCAGCAGCAATGACAACCTGTTTCGTGAATATGTTGATTTTTCTTACCTTTTTCGCTTTGGAAAAAGAAATCTAAATATGGGGAATAGCCAATTATGACGCTTTTTAAAATTACAGATTTACGTGGAGGAGGGAGGAGAGCTGACACTGTAATTGTTTGACATTAGTAAAGAAAAATTTGAAGTAAAAACCGAAGTTCAACATCAACAATCTCCAACAGCAAGAAATTGTGTTCGAATAACCAGTTTAAAGAGAATTTTTATTTTTTTGTTGGTGTTCCAAATTGAAATGATTTCTTTATTCTGAGGTCTCAAAATTGGAGGGGAAAAAAGGAAAGTACAAGGTTGCTCTTTCCCAGCTGTGGATAACAACTGAAGTGTTCTAGTCAAATTCCAGCTCCTCCAACGTGCTCAGTAGATCCATCTGGACACGATATTGCATTCTGTCCAAGTCATAACTTATGGTGTACTATCTAATGGTAAATATTGTAACTGCCATGTTGTATCTAGAGGTTGTTGTTTTTCATTGTGAAAATCAAAGATTTAGACCTTCAGTGGCCTTGCTTAACAAGATTAAGATATGCAAGTTTCTGTAATCAACAGCAAGTGATAAGATTCTGGTTAGCATCACATTGGGTTAGCTTTGATTTGAGAGTAAATTACTAACTCCTGTTATGTACGTTGATTTTTTTTTCTTGAGACAGTAACAAGGCATCAACTGATTTTTTTTCCTCTGCTCTTCAAACATCTATAGCACAGGTTGAAAATTTTGAGGGAGTGTGGAAATCTAAATTGTCTTAAGAATTTTTTGGATGTTAAGGAAATATATATCATTATGTCGCTGAGATACCAGGTTAGGAGCATCCAAAGGGATTCTGTGATATGAATCATATTTCTCATAGCTGAATTCTCCTTTCGGGAGTATGTGATGATATGTGGCTAGGACTCCTCATAATGTCCATACTTCATGCATAAACTTAAAGGAAGTTCAAATATCAGAGCTGGTGAAAATTATTGCTATCTTTCCTGGTTCGGGTTTAGAGCACAGTGACTGCAGTTATGCTGACATTACAGTATTAGCAAACTGAGCTCATAGCTTTTAATTATAATTAAAAAATTTATAAAATTATTATAAATTGAGCATTTGCCCTGAACTAGCAAATTTCTGAATGTGAACGTGCTTTTCTAGGTTGAAATCTCAAGGCAAAATTGCCAGGTACAGGCTCCATGGGAATTCATAAGGTGCATGCACATACAAGCTTTAATGTCAGAAACTGGTAGCAGTATTGGAGAGAAAACTGGATTGTTGGTGTTGCTATTATTAGGATTATTTACACAACAGTAGCACACACAACACGTGATTAGGGGGTTTGGCTGTGGGTGGCTGCTGTCCATGCCTGACATGAAGAGATAATTCCTGCCCTTAAGCACTTTTCTTCCATGATAATGATGATATAGAACAGAAAACCAGTGGGCGGTAGTTGTGATGGGTGAGGTTGGTTATATAAAGAAGCCTTTGGCACGCTGCAGACGATGACCTGGTTAGATGTTGGCCGTTGACAGCGATGTTTAAACCTCATGGCAGAAGGTCTTAACAGGGCAAGTGAAAGAAAGTTGGAATATTTTATTCGAGGATTGGAGCCACCCAGAAGAGACATGCAGTGAACAAGTTTCTCTGCCCAAATGAGTATACCTCTCCAATGAAAGTACGTAGCAAAAGCTAAGCTAATGTTTGGATTTATCAAAGCAAGGACCTGGAGTGGGTCAGTCACGTGATGAGTGAATATGCTAAACACTGAATTTAAGAGCTTTTGGCTTTGAAAAAGCTTTCTGAAAAGTGTCTTTTGTCAGAGGGGGGGAAAAAAAAATTCCAGATTTTTTGTGAAACAGTATTCTTGCTTTCTGACCAGTGCTACAACGTGCCCAGGTCTGCAGTCATGTAGATACAGTGATCAGGATTAAAAACTCGGGGGTAAAATCACAGGCCTGTACCAATGGAGCTAAAGCAGGAATATTTAAGTATGCTTTTACCTTTGGCAACACACAGAAGAGGGAAACTTAATTGCATATACTAATAATAGGCTAGACTATATGCCCTCTAAGGCCCTTGGGGCTAGCCCTGGACTGAAACTGTAGTATGCCGGGCGTGGAACAGCACGGGAGAGCGGATGGCCTCTGTGCGTGCAGGACTTGCAGCCTATATTCAAGACAAGTGGGAGGCACACATGCTGAAGTGAGGATCATGAGGAAACCACAACGCAGTACTGACCAGTGCAATAATACCTTGAGAGTCACACTGCCTTTAGGGAGTATCATGATATAAATGTGACAATATTACAAGGCACTGCCGTCTTCTGGAGCACTGTATTCTCAGAGTGTATCAGAGTGCAACTTGCAGTGTTAAAAAAGAGTCTGGCAGGTTTTCAAAGGTCATTAATCTGTATGTGAAGACAAGGCTTGGCTTATTCAGCACAGATTTGCTGAAAGATTCATAAAGGTTCTATGAACAGTTTGGACAGATACTTGTTTTGAATGTTTCAGGCTGTTCTATTATTCAGCATCTGGGTTCAAATTCTACTTATGTGTCTGAAGTCCTCTTTATTTTTGAGATCAAGAAATATCCCCTGGCTTGTGATATGTTAATTCAGTGGCATCTTGCAGTTCTGACCAACATGCCATGAAATCATGTGCTACGAAACAACTCTTCTTCTGAAGCTTTGCAATGCAATAAGGTTGAGGACTTCCTAATCTATCCAGGAACCAATTGAACTCAATCGAAACAGAACATGTAGAAATCCCAGTCGTCTGAACTGAAATAGGAATTGTTTGGGGGAAAGACTGTCAAGGCAAGGCAGCACAGTTTCTACAGTTTCTCTCAAGTTTCCAAGACCATAAAAGTAAGCACCAGTACTCTTAGGTAATGAAAATATTTGTTGTTTTATCAAGTGGAAGAACAGCAAAGCAGCACACCATATTTTATGCTGTGGGGATGCCTCTAGGCAAATCTGAATAACCACATTATGTGCTTATTTTGTTTAAGCAGCTTGGTTAATTATGGCTTTTGGGGACAGATTTAGCCTAATTTGTGCTGATTTGTGTAGCTTTGATCAACAGTTACTTCTCAATTTCCTCATCTTGTATGACATGCCCTTTTCTCTGAAGTGGTTCGGCTGATGGAAAGACCTGTATGTCAATATTTTCCATGCTAAAAACGTAACTCAAAAGCAACAACTTAGAGCTAAATGTATAAAGAGACCAACGGGTGAAGGCTTTCCCAGTAATAACTCCCATTGGTTTTTCCAGTCTCCATGCATACGCATTTCAGCTTGAGAAGTGATGTGGAGCTCCAATACTGGGGAGCTTGGCACATGGATAATGAATAAAAATTGATAGCCCTTGTTCTTTCTATCTGATTCTGGCCAATTCATAGTTTTCATGAGCTACAGTCATTTTGCTTTCCTATCAAATTTGTTATTTCTCCTTTGTACATTTGTTAATATGTACCTCGAGACGTTCTTTGCAATAATGCCAATGCCACAGGTAAAACATGAGGCTTGCCAGGACTTCATAGCTGTTGCACATAATTGTACTTAAATACTCTAAATCCTTCTCTAGTATAGTCACATGGGGAGCAGAAAACATCACTGATGAAGAGGCACTGGATGGAAGAGGAGTGTTGGGAGGGCAGTGTGATCAGTCCAGTGGGAGTGCAGTGGGAAGGAGTTACTGTGGCACTGGAGGTGCTGATAGAGGGGGAGTGGCCCAGGGACAATGAGGGCATGGCATCCTCTGCGTCAGCGTGCTTTATTTTCCTTGCTCAAGTCTTTCAGATTGGTCTTGTCAGGCTTTTGATTAATGTGGCCTTAGGATGGTTAAATTTGTCTGAGTTAAATTTATTAACGTGCACCTTGTTAATGGGAAGCACAAGCCATGCATGCTCGCAGGAACTGCACACTCACTGCATACTGAAGGGAAGAAAAATGGGCTGCTGTTTTCCTTCATCATGCCTTGTTTATGTGAGGTTCTGATACTCACTTTAGGCTCCTTTCTCCTCCTCTCTTTCTGTCTCATCTTTATGTGATGGTGTACTGAATAATTTTTATTAAATGCTCAGTTCTGAAACGGATATGAAGAAAGAAAGAAGTGAGACAAGAAGTCTTTGGCTCTTTGTGCTTTGCATCTCAGTCATGCAACAGTTACAAACAGCACAACTTTAGTCACACTTGATCAATGTCTGTGGGTGCCTGATGGCTGCAACAGAAAGTCCAAGGCTGGTCAGTGGTCCCTGCCGGGCTGTGCAGCTCCATAGACTTGTACAAATAGAAACTGGGAAGGTCTCTCTTGTTGTTTCTTTCTTGTGTGTTCTTTTTTAAACTTGCCCTTCCTGCTATCATATGAAGACTAAGCATCCAGCAAGGAGGGATGTTTTTGCTACGCATCCTAACTGCAATATCCCCCATAGTCTTGAGATAAAGCCGTTAGTTTCCCACTCTGACTGTGTGTGGGAAGCACCAATGGCGAGACAATGGGACTGTTTTTTTGTCTTCTCCATTATCTGTCTTTATCACGTTCCTCTTTGCCTCCTCCTTATTCCTTCTTATGAAGAGTTAGACACTGCAGATTTGACCTGCTATATTACACACAGAGCATTGCCTCAGCAGACTGTAGCTCTTCTCAGAATTATTAAAAAAAGAACATACTCCGCTCCACCCCCCACCCCCTCCCACCGAAAAGAGAGGAAAATATAGTTTTGTGTAAGCTTGCATGTGTGGTGAGGCTGCATGCTCCACCTGCCCTGGATATTGAATCAGCACATGGGAGCCTTTAAGAAGGAAAGAAGTTGGGAGTGGAGAGGAGAGAATGGTTGGGCAGGTGCTTACTCTTTGGTGACTTTGTTCCTTGATATGTTAGGTCTAGCCTTAGACATTGCCTGATGAGAGTTAAAGG